ATAGAAAATATGGCTCACAGAAAACGCAATCAGATTATTTCATATAAATGGAAGTTTATGCAGGGATAAGTATAAAATACCCATCTTTTCTATACATATAATTTTTATTAAAACCTTTTAAATGAGAAGATAAACACTAACAAAAACTAATATAAGAATCTTTAAATGGCTGCCATAGTTCTCTGGGCTACAAAAATGGCGTTTTTGATGGTATTCAGAAGCTTGAAAAAACTACTCCATGGCACTTGAAGCAGCTGAGTTGTTCTACTGGATGCTTACCTATCAACCAATTGCATTTTGGGAAGCTATTTGAAAAGTCAATTATTTTGGGTTTTTTTAAAATAGTTTATAATTAGCTGGTTTTTGATGCAAAATTGTCCTTGATTTAAAATCAGCGAATTTCCATGGTTGAGAGGGATCTTGAATGTGAGTTTTCCCATCATTAGTCCAACATCTTCACCTCATTAAGGATTAGGGAAGATGGCACTGATCCGGGCAATCTGAGGACAGTTGATAGGACGATCCACTTGCTGTACATCTCATTTTATTCCATTTTTATTCTAATTTTTTCCCATTTTATTTTAGTTACTTCACCACTCAATTTTGACTATTTTTACCACTCCCTTCATCACTTCACTATAGTAGTGGCTTGTTTGAAACTCCATCAAATTTGTGGGCAGAAAAAACGGATAGATGTTTTCTTTGAATTTCTCAGGAGAAGCAAAACTTCCCCAACCATTTTTCCAGGGCAGGATTCTTCCTTAGCAGTGAGTGACACCATTTCTATAAAACCCCACCCATAATGTTAGTGGGGAATTTACACTCCACAAAAATTCACTTCATATACTATGGCATGCATAAATAAAACACAACATTCAAAAAGTAGCTAAAAACACAAAGCATGTATGAAAAATGACATAAAATACAAATTTGATATCTTTAAAAGCAGACTGTTGAATAAGCGACTCCACCCAAAACAGGTCTCATTCGCTAAACTGTTTATATTTTAGAAAGAAAGGACTGGGTCTCCCGTTTTGG